CAAATGTCCCCTAGAGCTCCAGCTCCAGTCGCTGAGCACTGAAGGAGGCTGAGCCCAGGTCAGTTAATGTTTGCCTGTGACCCCATCATGGCTAAGCTGTGGTTCTCAGCAAAGAACTCCTTCCCACCTGCCTTAAGAAACTGAGCTCAATGTGGAGAAAAAGGAGAGAACTACATTTTGGGAGATATCCAATCATGCTTTTGCAGTCTTTGTTCTTTTTCAGGAGCTCAGGGGCTGAGACTGTGTGTCATTCATTACAGCAGCTTCCTCCTGGTAGAGGTCAAGCATGTGTTTGTGAATGAATGTTGGTTGAAATACACTGGTTATGGTGCCTTTGGGCAATGAAATCCCATCTTCTCCCCTACTAACCCAGACATTCTCATTGTCTCTCTGCCTGGTTACATCACTTCTCATTCAGGAAGCCATGCATTATTTCACCCAATAGTGGTTCCCATTGTGGACCACTCTGTGGGGTTCAATGTCCATGCATAAGTCCCTTATCTGTACTTGAGGAATGCTTGTGCTGTATATACCTGAGAGGTATATATATACAGGGTGTCCCAAAAAATGTATACACACTGTAACAGCTGATAGCTCAATTTTGAAAATGAAATGTATTTTAATAAACACTGCCTTTATAATTATTCATAGTGTGTATCCGTTTTTGGGGACCCCCTATATTTATGAGGACATCAGACAGAAACTCCCTCCTTCTCTACAACTAAACCTAACATTTATTTGCATCTGCAACCAACCTCTCCTCCTTGCCTCTTTTATCCTCTTATTTGAGGCCACTGCTTCCATTTGTATTCTGGGTCCAATATCCTCATTCCCTAGGGGACCTCAATCTAGTACCTCTTTCCCCTCCTACATCTTCACCCTTTCTCCCTTGACAGCCTTCTTCCCATACACATGACTACCACCTGAGCCAGGCACTGTCTAAATAGTCTACATTCCTCCATTCCCCACTAAGGCAGGTCTGTCACACCAGGGCCAGGGACTTGGTTGGAAAAAGAGTAAAAGCCCTGACCTATGGGATGTGCAGAGCTGCAGGGACAGCCTGTCTCCAGATTCCCTAAAAACCCCTGAGCCTGAAGAGGTGTCCTCCTCCTCTCCCCTTGTTGGAGATGATACTCCACAAGGTATCTACCCCTATCCGGCTCCTGGCCTCTAGGACTCTCACTACAGTTAAGTCATAGCATACCTCAGCTAGGGACATGCCTCTGAAACAGCTTCCATCTGCCCTCCAGGCATAATAGTACATAGAAAACAAGACCACCTTGCCCTGGACTGTGTGGCTCAGTTAACTGGATCATCATCCCATACACCAAAAGGTCATAGGTTCGATTCCCAGTCAGGGCATAAACCCAGGTTGCGGGTTTGATCCCTGGTTGGGGTGTGTACAGGAGGCAATCGATCCATATTTCTCTCTCACATCGATGTTTCTCACTCTCTCACTCTCCTTCTCCCTTCTTCTCTCCCTAAAATCAATATCAATAATAATAATAAAACATATCCCTGGGTAAGGATTAAGAAAAAACAAAAACAAGACCGCCCCCCAGGATGATAGAACTTAATGCAAATCTTAAAGATAAAAAGGATGCAGGGCTGATGATCCACATCATATCTCCAAGTAATTCTCCAGTATGCCTCCCCGCCAAAGTAGTCGGGCCATGGAGAATGGCAAACTACAGCATAATCCATCAAGTAGTAACTCAATTGCAGCCATGGTGCCAGCCACTACAGTTTCTTTGGTAGAGATGAGTTAACATAGTCTCAGTACATGGTAGGTAGCTATCAGTTTGGTGAATGTTCCGCTTTCCATTGCTATCAAAAGTGTGGATGAGAAAGAGTTAGTAGGCATACAGAATGGACAATAGTATATATTTACAGTTTTGACCCAAGCTGTATTAACTCTTCTCAATCCTCTGCCATAATATGGTCAGAAGTCTAGACCATTTAGTTACCCCTCAGAAAGTCACATTGATCCACTTCTACCCATGACGTCATGCTAACTGAATCAGATGAGCAAGAAGTGGCCAGAACAGTGGAGACTTTGGAAAGCTATTTGTGCTCCAGAGGGTAGGTGATAAAGATTCAGGAGCCTTCTACATCAGTAAAATTTTTAAGGTTTCAGTGGCCAGGAGTCTATCAGGAAATCCCATCCAAAATAGAAGATAAACTATTGCATCGTGCACCTTCCACCATATAAAAGGAAATACAACACCTGGTAGGCCTCTTTGGGTTGTGGAGACAACATGTTCCCACACCAGGGAAGACTGCTTTGGTCCATAGCAAAGGTAATCTAAAATTCTGCTACATTAGTTTGGGGACTAGAGCAGGAAAGGTCTCTGTAGCAGGTTCTGGCTAGGCCAGCCTTATGGTACAGCTGGGATGGAGCACAGGCAGGTCCAGAGGGCACAAGCAGACTGCATAAGCAGGTTGCCTGGCCCTCATTTCATCCACACCTGCTGCATTGTCACCTCTACCTCACCTCACATCCATTGCCATGTGAGGGATTCCTGATGAACAGCTTCTAGGGAAGGAAAAAGCTAAGTTCGTTGATTTTCACAACACTGTTATGAGACAGACAATAGTATCACACCCATTTTGCAGTTGCAGAAATGAGTCACAGAGAATGGAAATGAGTTGTTTGGAATTACAGATCCAAAAGGTGGACAAGGTAGCCTCAAACCTTAGTTTATTATTCCAAATACTCTGCTGTTTCCCTTAAAAAGCATGGTCTAGTTGTTATACTATGAGTCACCATTTAGTACTCAGCAGGGAATAGCCTCCTTATAAGACCAACAGCTCACAGACCTATTCAGAAGACCCAAGTCTATGTGTATATACCAGTGATTTTCAACCGGTGTGCTGCAAGGATTTTTAAAACATGCAATACCTGACAATTTAGTCAGGGGCACTGACCTCTTTTCACTTAGATTGTCAAATAAAATAATGACAACAGCCAACAGAACAATAGCTGTCCGGTGTGAATAAATCAAAATTATACCTATTTTTCTTGTCAGATCAGCAAAATATATATTTTTGGTGTGCCACAGAATTTTAGTAATTATCTATGTGTGCCACGAGATGAAAAAAGGTTGAAAATTGCTGCTATATATATATATGTTATTTATAGGGAAATGAAAATACACATATAGGTATATGGCAAAGGATGGAGTCTCAGATTATGATTAATAAATACACAAACATAAAAATAGAAAAGTCATTTAAATACATAGGAGAGATACACTGACCTGAATAAGATACGGAATGTTCTTCTGGTCAATTCCAACTTGCTGAATTCACATAACAGGGGGTGGGGAAAAGTATACATTATAGCAGAGCATGGCAACAAAAAAAAGTAACTATGAGATCAATGTATCCACAAAAGAGAAAATACCGCAAGAACATGAATGCCTTGCTAGGCTGGTACCTTTCTAGATCAAGAAAAACATCAAGCTAAAGTATGCCTTGTACACTTAAGCACAATTGTATACTTGTTCCAAGGATAAAACTATAAAAGAAAAGACTTGCCAGATATTGAGTCTTTGCTGTCTGGATATCATACAAATGTGTTCTAATTTTTCAAGTAGTCAGAGTCAGCTATTATTCATTTTGTTCTCCAGTGGGTAATACATCTTTTTCTTTTTTTCTTTTTCCAGTTTTCAGAAGTTCTACTATTGCTTGCCTAGGTGTCATTTTCTTTGTATTTATCCTGCTTGTGTTCCTCTGAGTATCAGGGCAGATGTGGGGCTCACCTCATGTGTTTCCTTCTCTCACTGATCACAGACCTAATCTACCTGAAAAGATTTACATCATATATATTTTGGCCCAGTCTTAAGAGTTGTTTCTGTTGAGAGGGTAAGATTGTGATTGGTTAGCCTCATGGCTGCAAACAGAAATCCTTGTAAGGTTGCTTTTGTGCACAAGTTAATTGGATAGTACATTTGAGGTAGTTAATTTTAGTTATTTTAGTTTTGCTGTTTACAAAATAGTTAAAACTACTACAAATTTCTGTGTGTTTGTGTGGTGGTGGTGGTAGGGGGGATAGTTATATTGGATACAAAACTAATATGGAAAACAGAAAAGCCTTGGATAAAAATAGAGTTGTATACCTCTGCAACATTCAGGAACTGTATCAGTTTGGTTGTTCCTCCAAGGAACTTGATGTAAATATCCAAACTTGTGTTGCACTGGTTCTTTGTCATGTCAAAAAACTTGTCTAAAAATAGAAAAAAATTACCATGAAGGAGCCAATAACTTAGCAATTTTCAAGTTTCACTCCATTCTGATGATTCTATTTTAAGTTGATTCTGGATATGAATTTAACTTGTTCAAAATAATTATAGTTTTAATTCAGTTATTTTCTGTTTTAAAAAGCAACAATATCTCTCAATTTATATATTTAAAATATTTTTATGGGGTAACTACTGCATGACAAATACGTGTATTTAGAATTTAATAGCATACAGAGATTGTTTGGATAATTTAGTTTGAATTTCTAAAACTTCTAGTCTGTAATCTTTTTGAAAACTCTGACGCTCTCTGAGGGAAGGGGCTGTGCTTCCTATTCTTTTATAACTCTACAAATGTACTAGGCACTTCTTCAGAATAAGAAAAATCTCAAATTCTCATCAATGAAGTCTGGAGAACCCTTCCTATGAAATGAATCATTCACTAGGGCAAAATAATGACAGATAATTCCTGAAAAGCTTGAAAAATATGTGCTTGCATATAATCAACAACAATTACTTATGTTATAGGCTATATTTTCTTAGGAAAGTCAGAACTGTACTTTTGACCTTGGTGGAGTGGGCCCTTAATGAGTAATGCATAAATATGGCCACCCATATTGAGTCCCTGGTAAATTTCCCAAAAATGTCAGTTAGCACTTATGTAAAAACTAAAAAGTTCTATGGCTAATTAAGCAAATTTTTAACCAAAAAAGCAATATAATGTCTTCTTATTTAAAAATATATATGACCCTGTATCTTCTATTTTGAATCTAAAACAAATATGAGCCTAAATATAGACATAAAAGATTTTTACAAATAAATTGTTTTTATCTGATTTTTAAAGTATGCAATGTTTATTCTTTAGCCTACCTAGCAGATTAAGGATTCCCTCATTATAAGCTGCAAAGAGGCGAAGAGAATCCTTAAAGAGGAGCATGAAAGCAGCATGTATTATACCATTAGTTAGTTCGTTTGCATTTGCCTGAAAATTAAGTAAAAGAGCAATCAATTATCACCACAGTTTTAAAAAATTTATTCCTCCAACTATAGTTAAACAGTGTCATTTACCAATATTTTGAAAAAGGATTTATAAAGCTCATACATTAAAATTAAGAAGAGCATCAAACTGAATTTGAATAACTGGAAGTGTGTTTAGCAGGTCTTTAGTATTCATAGTTCTCATCATACCATCCATCCTATAAAAGATCAAAGAAATTCATAACATTAATAATTAAGAGTTTGAGAAGCACTATGACATCAATATCTTGAAATATAGCTGTTTTTCACAAACTACATGTCAGAGCACATATGTATTTCAGTATTTCTTGCTTACAAACTAATGATATTTACTGACCCTCTCTTGATTTTGGTGATGTCAGATGCAATCAGTCTATACGCGAGTGACTTTTCATTCAAGTACCTGCTATATCGTCTGATGAAGGTTGACATAGCATAGCCTAAAAATGAAATATTTTAATTATTTCTAATTTAACCAATATTAACCATTTGCAATATATGTCAATATACATTCACCTGTATACCTCAACATCTTTGTAGTACAAAAGCTAGAATGGCCTTTATTAATCATCTAATCCAATATTCCTCAAACTTTCTAAAGATTATTTTTTATTTCCTCAAAGCCTTGATATCACCTCATGATGTGGTGTTGATGGTGACATTATTGAACAGAGGAAATAATTAAACTTTATCAATTTCTTTCACATTTCCACAAAACTATTGTAAATACTTAGCATTTTCTTAAAACTCCCCATCTCATTGTAGTAATTCCTTCCCCACCCTCCCTCCATGCAGCAAATGACCTTGTCCCCTACTTCATAGGCAAAATGGATTTAAAAGGGCCATAATGGAAACTCAATCCCTCACTACTCAACTTCCAAACATACCTTGATTTATTTATTCAATTCATTTATTCATTCAACAATTATTGAATGCCTACTGAGCCAGGCCCTGTTCTAGATGCTGGAAGTTCAGCAGTGAACAAAACAAAAATCCCTGCCCTCATGGAGCTTTCATTCCAAGGGGGGACTGATAAGCAAAAGAAAGGGAAAACACAGATATGATTAGTCCGTGAGAAGTGGAAAGAAGAAAACTCAGACAGAGAAGGGACATACGGTTGTGCCACGATTTTTATTAGACTGAGCAACAAAGCCCTTACTGGAGAGTTCAGTTTCCTTTATCTTTAGCACATAGCATATTCTGTTATTCTTAGTAAGTACTCTAATGTGTTGTATCAAGGAATTTAGAATTATCTACCATCATAAAATGTACAACACACCACATTCTTCATAATTTGGAACCATTTTTTTAAACCAGGCATGGTTTTCAGAACTTTTCCCTCCTTGCCACATAGAAATATTTCCATCGAAGAATCATCTTACCTTCTATGACACTGTTATCCAGGAAGTTGTGTAAAGTGAACAAAGAGTTTCTAGATGCAAGATGTCGGATAAAACGCTGTCAAACAAATGTGCTAAATTCAAAAATTAGTTTGCCCACAAATAGAGTTCATTAATGATTTTGTCATTGTGAATGAATTCTTAACATAATTCTATCATGCAGTTTCTATGTAGTTCATGAGCATTGTTAAGGTGAGCACAGTCATATCCTGGGCTACACTGCATAAGGGCTTGCAGTGCTGTCCTCTGTTTATATACCTCCCAAATAAGTAAGGGCTTAAACATTAAAGCTCATGTGTATATACAAGCTTTCCTCCCAAGACTTTCTATCTAGCCATTCTCCCTTTTTTATTTTTAGAACATTTAATTAATCACAGAATTGATATTTTAATAGTAAATTACTTAATAATTTAATTTACTGAAAAAAATTATACATCTGTGTATCCCACCCCACTACCCAGAAATGATAACTGCTAACTTTCTGACATATCTGTTTCATGTTTATTTTTAAAATAAGAGGATTAAAGTATTGCTGATAAAGTTAAAAATGCCCTTAGCCCCATCCCTAAGTTTGTTTCATTTCCTTCTACTTGAAGGCACCTGTATCACAGTTTTAATGTGCTATCCTTAGTCCATTTTCTTTATAGCTTCATATATATTTGTTCCATGGAAAAATATCAAGTGTATATTTTAAACTTATATGAATGATATTATACTCTATCATTTTGCAACTTGCTTCCTCTATTAGCATTACTTTTTGAGGTCTAGCCTTGTTGGTATACATTGCATTTAATACAATATAGTATTTCATTGTATGAACACACCTCATTTTAGTTATCTGTTCCCTACTGATTGACTTTTAGGTGATTTCTACATTCTAAATATTATAAATATACTATGAGTAGTGGATTTACTGGGTCACTGGGCTGGGCATTTTCAGTTTTACTAAACATGTCTCAATGCTTTCCTGTGACAGTGATAAACTGCAGCAACTAGTATTTGCATGTCATCCAACTGGTATGTCAATTACCATTTCCTCAAGGTATTCACAACTCTTGACACTGCCATGCTTTTTTTTTTAAATGACTTTATTGTAGTTTTTAAATATATATATATATCTTTATTGACTTCAGAGAGAGGAAGGTAGAGGGAGAGAGAGAGATAGAAATGTCAATGTTGAGAGAGTCATAGATCAGCTGCCTCCTGCAGGTCCCCCACTGGGAATGGAGCCTGCAACCCAGGCATGTGCCCTGACCAAGAATCGAACTGCGATCTCCTGGATCATAGGTCGATGCTCAACAGCTGAGCCATGCCTGGCCGGGCAATATTGCCATGCATTTTATTTTATTATTTATTTATTTATTTATTTATTTATTTATTTATTTATTTATTTATATTATTATTTTTTTAAATATATCTTTCTTGATTTCAGAGAGAGGAAAAGAGGGGAAGAAGGAGAGACAGAAACATCAATGATGAGAGAGTCATTGATCGAGCCCACAACCTGGGCATGTGCCCTGACTGGGAATCGAACCCCAATTGCCTGGATCCCAGGTCGACGCTCAACCGCTGAGCCACGCCCGGCTGGGCGCCATGCATTTTAAATTTTGCTTAGCTGAACATGTTCTCTGATGGTTTTCAGCCATTCTGATTTCCTTCTCTATAAATTCTTTGTTCGTTTCTTTTGTTCATTATTCCATTGTACTGTCATTTTCTTATGAAAAATGTATGCTGAAAATTAATCTTTTTTCTGTAATATATAAAATCTTACTCCAAATTTATATCTTCCCTACTAAAATGTCATAAGCATATTCTCCTACATTTTCTTCAATTTTAAATTTTAGGTTTTTGCATTTATAGATATTTCATTCATGTGGAATTTCTTTTTTAATATGAATTAAGATAAAGATTTCATTCTATTTTTTCCATAGAGATGCTACTTATTCCAAAAGGCTTTATTTTAAATTTCATATTTACCCCACATTTTTAGTGCCACCAAGATCCTATATAAGTACAGTTCTACTTCTGAGTTCCCCTCACTGTGTTCCATTTATATAAATGTTCTATTTTTACCAACACCATACTATGTAATTACTGTTGCTTTATAATAAGTTTCAAAATCCAGGAGATTTCTAAATCCAAATTTTTTAATGCAAAGCTTACTGAGATAAAATGTTAATCTGAAGTAGAAAATAATAATTTCATGTTATAGAGCATTTCAGTTGTTCTATAAAATACAAAGAGTGTTTGTATGTGGGGAGAGGTGGGCAGGTGATGATGTAATACACTCAGGTATCCAGTTTCTCCTGGTAAAGTAAAGCAGTTATGTAGCAATACATTTTTTTGAATATGTCTGTTGATTTCAGAGAGAGAAAGGGAGAGGGAGAGAGAGAGAGAAACATCAATGATGAGAGTCATTGATTGGCTTCCTCCTGCATGCCCCCTACTAGGGATCAAGCCCACAACCCAAGCATGTGCCCTGACAAGGAATCGAACCATGATCTCCTGGATCCTAGGTCAATGCTCAATGCTGAGACAAGCTGGCCGGGCTGTAGCAATACATTTTTGAGGGCTTCCTCTCTTTGGTCTAAATCATCTAAAAAATTGAGTGAGGGAGGTTGGAAGATGATGGTAGACTGGACCTGACTGAGGGTGAGAGTGTGAGTGGGTGAGTGTGTGCATGGGTGTGAGTGAAGGGAACATCTGTCAGTCTGTGCAAGAACTCCCCAGAGGTTCAGGAGCTCCTGGCAGAGGAGCTGCTGCTGCTGCCACACTGCTCAGCCTGGTCCTTCTCTTTGAATGAGATTGGAGAGCACATCATTTTGGAGGATCCTCAGGGTCCTCCTCAAAAGGAGGCTTTGGGGAGCAGCTTTGACCCGGTGCCCCAAGGCCACTGACAGACGTGTGGGCCCCACAGGCGAAGACCCAGTGCTATCTGCACCAGCCTAACACCGTGACCCAGTGTGTCTGAACTAGTGCCCACAGAAAACCTCACCACCTCATTGACCCAGCATGCAGGGCCTGCATGACTGCCTGCCTGGCTGCTGTGCCACCTTGACCCACAGTCTACGGCCTGCCTGCCTGGCCTGCTTCCTTGAAGGGGCATGCCTGGCTGGCCTGCCTACTCCCCGTTGCACCTCCTTGATACTGCACACACGCCGGACTTCCTACCTGGCCTACAGCTTTAATGTAGTGCACCCAGCTCTGCCACTGTGACCCAATGCCTCCCAGACACACAGGCTGGCCATCACGACCTGGTTGCCTGACTCAATGACCTGGGACTACCAGGCACAAGGCCTTGTTCAAGCCCTGCAGCGTTGACCTGGTGCCCCAAGACAACTGTCCCACTAAAATGAGACAAAGAAACAACACTCAAATGAAAGAAAAGGAGAAATTGCTAGGAAAAAAATAAATGAAACGGAGGCAAGCAATTTATCAGATATAGAGTTCAAAGTAATGGTTATAAGTATGCTCAAACTTAGTGAGAATTACGAACAACTGAATGAGAACTTCATAAGCTTGAATAAGAATCAATTGAAAATGAAGAATGACATAGCTGAAATAAAGAATACACTGGAAGGAATCAACAGTAGATTAAAAGAAGCTGAGGACTGAATCAGTGAATTAGAAGACAAGGTAGGGAAAACACCCAATCAGGAAGAGAATTTAAGGAAGCTTTGAAATGTAACAACATCCGCATCATAGGGGTACAGAATGAGAAGAATCCAAGCAAGGATTAGAGAACAAGTATGAAGAAATAATGACAGAAAACTTCCCTAACTTGTTGAAGGAAAAAGTCACTCAAGTTCAGGAAGCACAGAGGGTTCCAAGCAAGGGGAACCCAAATAGACCCACACCTAGACACATCGTAATTAAAAAGGCAAAAGTTAAAGATAAGGAAAGAATCATAAAAGCAACAAGAGAGAGACAGAAAGTTAACAACAAGGGAGCTCCCATTAGACTCACAGCTGATTTTTCAGTAGAAATACTTCAGACCAGAAGGGAGTGGCATTAAGTATTCAAAGTAATGAAAAATAAGGGACTGAATCCAAGACTCATCTATCCAGGAAGGTTATCACTCAAAATTGAAAGTGAAATAAAGCGCTCCGCAGACAAAAAACAGTTAAAGGAGTTTACTACTACCAAACCAGCACTACAAGAAATGCTAAAGGGACTGGTGTAAGAAAAAGAAGCAATACAGAGAAAGAGAGGAACACAGACATAAAGAAAGAATGGAAAAAAGTACCTATCAATAATAACCTTAAATGTAAATGGATTAAATGCTTCAAAAGAAAAAGACATAGGGTAGCTGAAGAGATAAGAAAATATGGCCCACATATATGCTGTCTATAAGAGACCCACCTCAGAACAAGAGACTCATAAAGGATGAAAGCAAAGAGATGGAAAAAACTTTTTCATGCAAATGGAAATGAAAAAAAAGCTGGGGTAGCAACACTCTTTTCTGACAAAATAGACTTCAAAATGAAAGCCAATACAAGAGAGAAAGAAGATCACTAATAGTAAAGGGTTTGATTCAAAAGAGGATATAACCCTGGTAAACATATATGCACCCAATATAGGAGCACCTAAATATATTTAAAAAACTACTGGAGGAATTTAAGGGAGAGATCGACAGCAATACAATCATAGTAGGGGACTTTAACACCCCACTGGCATCACTGGATAGATCTTCCAGGCAAAAAATCAACAAGAAAACAGTGACTCTAAATGACACCCTAGATCAGATGGATTTAATTGACATTTACAGAACATTCCACCCCAAAGATACAGAATATACGTTCTTCGCAAGTGCACATGGGACATTGTCAAAGATAGACCACATGTTAGGACACAAAATAGAGGAAATAAGTCTCTATAATTTCAAGAAGATTGAAATCATATCAAGCATCTTCTCGGATCACAGTGGCACGAAATTAGAAATCAACTACAATAAAAACACTAAAAGACATTCAAACACATGGAGGCTAAATAGCATGCTATTAAACAATGAATGGGTTACCAATGAGATCAAGGAAGAAATAAAAACTTCCAGGAAAAAACTGAAAATGAACACACAACAACCGATAATCTATGGAACACAATGAAAGAAGTCCTCAGAGGGAAGTTCATAGCACTACAGGTTTACTTCAAAAAAACAAGAAAAGCTTTTAATAAACTCTCTAACACTACAACTGAAAGACTTAGAAAGAGAACAACAAGGAAGGCCCAGAGTAAGTAGAAAGAAGGAAATACTAAAAATCAGAGCAGAAATAAATAACACAGAGATTAAAAAAAAGCAATACAAAAGATCAATAAAACCAAGAGCTGGTTCTTTGAAAAGATAAGCAAGATAGATGGCCCTTTAGCCAGACCCATTAAGAAACAAAGAGAGAGGACTCAAATAAAAATAGAAACAAAAGAGGTGAAGTAGCAATTGATCCAACAGAAATACAAAGGATTGTAAGAAAATACTATGAACAACTCAACTATACACCATCAAGCTGGAGAACCTGGATGAAATGGACAAATTCCTAGAAAAATACAACGTTCCAAAACTCAATCAGGAAGAGTCAGAAAACCTGAATAGGCTGATAATTGCCGATAAAGTTGAAGCAGTAATCAAAGGGCTCCAAGAACACAAAAGCCCTGGTTCAGATGGCTTCACAGGAGAGTTTTACCAAACATTCAAAGAAGAACTAACACCTATCCTTCTCAAACTATTCCAGAAAATCCAAGAAGAAGGAACACTTCCAAGCTCTTTTTATGTGGCCAGCATTAGCTTAATTCCAAAACCAGATAAAGACACTACAAAGAAAGAGAATTACAGGCCAGTATCCCTGATGAACATAGATGCTAAAATACTCAACAAAATATTAGCAAATCAGATCAGGCAATATATTAAAAAGATCATACACCATGACCAAGTGGGATTTATTCCAGGGATGCAAGGCTGGTACAATATTCACAAATCAATAAATGTGATACATCACATAAACAAATTGTAGACAAAAATCACTCCATGATATCAATAGATGCAGAAAAAGCATTCAACAAAATCCAGCACCCATCTTTGATCAAAACTCTCAGCAAAGTGAGAATAGACGGTTCATAACTCAATATAATAAAGGCCATACATGCCAGACCTACAGCAAACATCATACTCAATGGGCAGAAACAAAAAACATTTCCCTTAAGGACAGGAACAAGACAGGGGCTTCTACTTTCACCACTCCTATTCAACATAGTACTGGAAGTCCTAGCCACAGCGATGAGACAAGAAGAAAACATAAAAGGCACCCAAAATGGAAAGGAGAAAGTAAAACTGTCATTATTCGCAGATGACATGATATTGTACAGAGAAAATCCTAAAGACTCCACCAAAAAACTACTAGATTTAATAAATGAATTTGGCAAGGTAGCAGGATACAAAATTAACACCCAGAGCCCGGCAGGGAGTGGCTCAGCGGTTGAGCGTCGACCTGGGATCCAGGCAATCGGGGTTCGATTCCTGGTTCGATGCCTGGGTTGTGGGCTCGATCAATGACTCTCATCATTGATGTTTCTGTCTCTCTCTCCCTCTCCTTTCCTCTCTCTGAAATCAATAAAGATTTTTTTTTTTTAAATTAACACCCAGAAATTGATGGCATTTTTATACACCAACAATGAACTCATAGAAAGAGAAACTACAAACTATCCCATTTACCACTGCAACAAAAAAATTAATATAACTAGGAATAAACTTAAACAAGGAGATAGAAGACCTATACTTGGAAAACTACAGGTCCTGCAAAAAGAGATAGAGGAAGATATAAACAAGTGGAAGAACATACTGTGTTCAGGATTGGAAGATTTAACACCATTAAAATGTCCATATTATCCAAAGCAATCTATAAATTCAATGCAATCTCTATTAAAATACCAATGGCATATTTCACAGATCTAGAACAAACACTTCAAAAATTTATATGGAATGAAAAAAGACCCTGAATAGCCATGGCAATTTGACAAAGAACAAAGTTGGAGGGATCACAATACCAGATATCAAGTTATACTACAAAGCCACTGTAATCAAAACAGCCTGGTTCTGGCACAAGAACAGACACACAGATCAGTGGAACAGAACAGAGACCCCAGAAATTGATCCAAACAGTCATGCTCAATTAATATTTGACCAAGGAGGCAAGAACATACAGTGGACAGTGGACTAAAGACAGTCTCTTCAATAAATGGTGTTGAGAAAATTGGACAGGCACATGCAAAAAAATGAAACTAGATCATCAACTTACTCCATACACAAAAATAAACTCAACATGGATAAAAGACTTAAATGTAAGATGTGAAATCATAAAAACCCAAAAGAAAAGGTAGGCAGCAAAATCTCAGACATCTCGCATAGCAATATGTTTGCCAATACATCTCCTTGGGCAAGATAAACGAGAAAGAAAATAAACAAATGGGACAACATTAAAATAAAAAGCTTCTACACAGCAAAAGAAACCATCAACAAAACAAAAAGGGACCCCACTGTATGGGAGACCATATTTGCCAATGACACACCTGAGAAAGGGTTAATATCCAAAATATATAAGGAACTCATACAGCTTAACAGAAGGAAGAGAAACAATCCAATTGAAAAATGGGCAAAAGACCTAAATAGACACTTCTCCAAAGAGGACAGGCAGATGGCCAAGAGACATATGAAAAAATGCTCAAAGTCACTAATCATCAGAGAGATGGGAGTTAAAACGACAATGAGATATCACCTCACACCTATCAGAATGGGCACCATCAAAAAATCATCAAATGACAAGTGCTGGCAAGGATATGGGGAAAAGGGAACCCTAGTACACTGCTGGTGGGAATGCCAACTGGTGCAGCCCCTATGGAAAACAGTATGGAGTTTTCTCAAAAAATTAAAAATGGAGCTGCCTTTTGACCCAGTAATCCCACTTCTAAAAATGTATACTAAGAAACCTGAAACATTAATCAGAAAGAATTTATGCACCCCTATGTTCACTGCAGCACAATCTACAATAGCTAAGAACTGGAAACAGTCCAAGTACTCATTAGCAGATGAGTGGATAAAAAAGCTGTGGGACATTTACACCATGGAACGCTATGTAGCTCTAAAAAGAAGGATCTCTTATCCTTTGGGACAGTATGGATGGACCTGGAGACTATTATGCTAAGCGAAATAAGCCAGTTAGAGAAAGACAAGTATCACGTGATCTCACTCATATGTGGAATACAATGAACAAAATAAACTGTTGAACAAAATATATCCAGAGACATAGAAGCATGGAACAGACTGAGGGATCTCATAGGTAAGGCAAGAGTGGGGTAATTGGGGGGTGGTGATTAATCAAAGAACTTATATAGCCCGGTCGGGCATGGCTCAGGGGTTGAGCATCGACCTAGGATCCAGGCGATCAGGGTTCAATTCCCAGTCAAGGCACATGCCCGGGTTGCAGCTTGATCCTCAGTTGGGGGCGTCCAGGAGGCAGCCAATCAATGACTCTCTCATCATTGATGTTTCTATCTCTCTCTCTCCCTCTCCTTTCCTCTCTCTGAAATCAATAAAGATATAATTTTTTAAAAAAACAACTTATATACATATATGCATAACCCAAGGATACAGACAATAGTGTGGAGAAGGCCTGGGGGCAGGGAGGTGTTAGATGCAGTGTGGAAGGTATCAATGGT